TTTCCCCCCCCGCCCCCCCCCCCCCCAACCCCCCTCCTGAGCGCACGAGGGGGCGCTTCCCTCGTGGTTACTTTTTGTGGGAGCTGCAGGTACAGAGAGCCCCAGGAGGACCCGCTTCCAGTTAAATCCCGTGTCACTACCCCTGGGGCCTTCACCTCTTTCTCCGAATCTCCAACCCGAACTGTGAACTGCCACAGTCTCTTCCCAACCCCAGCCCAGCTCCCATTATCAATCCCAGGCCAATCCCCCTTCCCCAAACTCTCCAAAGTAGGTTGAAATATCCAACTTTCCAGCCTAATTGAAGTTGATCCCCTGGATTGAGTTTTGCCTCCCCCACCTCCCTACCACGTCCACCCCCACCCAATGCTCTCAGACAGGACGATGGCCTCTGATGTGAAGAAGGTTGTGAAGAGCGAGAAGGTGGACGAAGCTCAGGCGATGGCGCGGAACTGCGCGGGAAGGCCAGACTTCCAGCCCTGTGACAGCCTCTCGATCTGTGCCACCCACAGCCATGGCAAATGCTTCAAACGGCACTGGTGCTGTCATTTAGGATGGTGTCACTGTAAGCAACATTTGTTATTGATCGTTTGTGTGTGTGTGCGCGCGATTTGGTAAGATGTCAGTGAAAATTATGCTGAGCTCCATTTTGATGCTCCGATTGGCCAATTCGGATGTGCAGCCCAACAAATATTTGCGGGCAATCTCAAATTACCATCACTCCAGTGTCCCTTGCTCGTCAGATCATGTTGAGTGGAGCTTGTTGGAGGGACTCGGTGTGAGTCGAATTTAAAGTCTGGCCATACATCCGCATTCTGAGTTAGAGTAACAGCTTGCAACAGAACATGTCTTGCGGTGGTGTTGGTTCCTGTAGTTATCTTGTTACAGCTTGGCCTTTTAGGATGCGTTCTATTTTCATTTCAAATGGCCTGTTAACGGGTTCCGTAAAGGGGACTGCACCTCCTCACTTAAACGTGCGATCTTCCATTTAAAACTCTCGCCTTTGTCCAAGGAGGCCCCTGGATGCTGTCTCCCCTTTGCAAAATTCCGAGAGCTGAGTACCGGATTTAGCTAAATTAAAAATAATGATATGGGTGAGTTTTTAACAATTGTAGACTCAACAGCATCAGAGCAGCTAAGATTTATTTTATAATCCGAATGGCTCCTTGGATAAATACACCACATCACCTGGTAAAGCAGTGAATAGACTAGAGGATCTGTAGTTTCCTTCTGGTCATTGTAGAGTCAGCTATGTGATTTTCCTGGTGACACATATTTTCACTGGTAATCCCACAACATTTCACTTGGGAGGAATTAGGACAGGAGTAGAATTTGGCATGAATGTTGAGAATGGGATTCACCACCACACGCCACCTCCACCCTACCTCCCAACCCTACCACTTTTATCTTTGGTCAAAATGCCTCTTGACGCACATTATTCAACGTGACACAGGAGAAAGATCATTGGGATAATCCATTAGAGGATTATTTTCTGGATGCCAATGAATCCTTCAGGAGAGGGAGGACCCAATCAGAGGAATAAATTTGAAGAGAAAATAACCTAAAAACTAGTAAGAGAAGTTGGGATTTTAATCTTTCTTTGGAAGTTAGTTTGGACTGCCATGTTAGAACAAAGATATGACAAACCCTCAAAGCCAGCTCCTATATTTTATATCAAAATCGATCTTTTTGAAGTCACAGATGAAAGTCTGTCAGCATTTGAGAGATAAAAGGCAAGTGACTGTATTGAAAAGACCGTGTCATATCAAGCTAGAGCTGCTGTGCACTTCCAGTACTTTCTGTTTTATTTCAGATTTTTTTTGTGCCTCGTGGTTTCTCTATATATCTTAGCATTTTCGGTTGATGTCATAGGGATTGTGGAAATTCACAAGGGGTTTCCAGAGCAGCATTAAGCCAGTGAGTGTATAAGTGACCTCATGGAACACGTAACGTGAGAAAGCCGAAACTATGAGCATCAGTCTCTCCTCCGCCCTGCTCAATGTCAGGGACCTAATATAGACTGGACAGAAGGAAAAGAAAGAGGAACTGAATTTACACTCTTACAACTGAATCACATAAACACTTCCGTAATCTGGGACTTTTGGCTATAGTATCTGACAAGTCATTGGTTCTTGTTAAATCCTGAGACCAAAACACCTTACAGAACCAAACAATGAAAGAATGATTACAGCTCAGAAGGAGAGCATTCAGCCAATCATGTCTGCGCTGTTCTTCTGAAGGACCAGTTAATCCAGTGCTACACCTCATTTTTATCCCATGGCCCTCATTTTCTGAAAACAATCCAGTTCCCTCCTGAATGCTTCGCTTGATCCTACTACCTCCACACTATCAGACACTCACTCTATTTCAGCTCCTCACCTCTGATTGAAAGAAAAAATATTTCCTCATCTCGTCATTACTTCTTTTGCCTACTATCTTACATCTGAATCGTTAAGTTCCCATCCTTCCACTCATGCAAAATTCTCTCTATTTACTTTATCCAAGCCCTTCATGATTTTGAAACCTCAGTACTCCAGTTGAGGCCGAAGCAGTGTTTTATGCAAGTTTTTAACATAATTCCTTACTTTTGTACTTGATGCCCTTAATAATAAAGACACTGTATGCGTTTCAAACTGATTACTCAACCTGTCTTGCTATCTTCCACAATGCATGCACCCATTCATCCTTGTGTCTCTGTTCTTCCACCACCCTTAGTATTTTCCCTTTGTTCTGTCTCTGATGTTCCTTCTACCAAAACGAGAGACAAGACAAAGGAATTAGAAGCCAATTAGCCCTTTGAGTCTGCTTCGCCATTCAAGAAGATTGTAGCTGATCTTACCACTTTGCACATCTCTGTATTGAATTTCATCTGCTACTTGTCCATCCAATCTACCAAATTGTTTTTTTGAAGTTCAACTCGACCTTACGGTTCACAATACCTACAAATTTTATATTGTTTGACGAGGTATGGGTCATTAATATATAACAGGTAGAGCAGGGTTCCTAAAATTGATCTCAAAAGAACTCCAGTATTAATGTTCTTCCTGTCAAAGAATATTTGTTTACTCTGACTCCCACTTTCCTGTCATTTGGCCAAATTTGTATCCATGTTGTTACTATCCCTTGTAGTCCATGAGCTGTAACTTCACTCAGAAATCTGTTGTATGGCACTCTTGTCAAATATCTCTTAGAAGTCCATGTACACCAACTTGACAACATTATCCTCATCAACTGTCTCTCTCACCTCATCAAAAATCTCAGTTATTCATAATTTACTTTTTACTATTCTGTGCTGATTTTCCTTAACTAACCCATTTTTGTTCAAGTGACAGTGAAGTTTGCCATAGTTTATCATTAGTAAGAGGATCTCCACCATCAAGTTTAAACTGAGTCAACTGTTGTTGCAGGGCTTACAATCACGTTCTTTTTTTTAAATTATTTTCAACGTTTAGAATTCTCCACGCGTCTGGAACCACACTTTATTCAAAGGAAACCTTGAAAATTATTATCCCACTAGTTGGTGACCTAAAGACTACCCCAAAAAATGTAATTATAACGTTTTTCATCCTTAGCTCTGGCCAAATAAATTCTGTCCTTGACCCTCCTGGTACAGCCTTTCTCTCCAGAAGTGCAGTATTCTCCATAATCAAGACTGCCGCCCTTCAACCTTTCTTTCTTATCTTGTCTGTTCACCCTATATCTGGGAATAATTAATATTGAGTCCCACTGTTAGTTGAGCAAGGTGCCTGTTATGGACACAATATCATAATTCCATCTGTTTGCATACACCTGCAACTCAGTCTTATTAACTATGCTCTATGCATTCACTTGCGTGTATAGTAAGTTTGACACAAAAGCCGGTGGTATAGTGGACAGTGAAGAAGGTTAAGATTACAAAGAGATCTTGATCAATATGGTCAATGTGCTGAGGAGTGTCGGATGGAGTTTAATTTGGATAAATGCAAGGTATTGCAAAAGCAGGACTTATACAATTAATGGTAGTGTTGCAAACAGAGAGAGACCTCGGGGTTCAGGTACATAATTTGCATCACAGGTAGACAGGGTGGTTAAGAAAGCATTTAACACGCTTATCTTCATTGCTCAGACTTCTGTAATTTCCAGCATTTTTTGTTTTCAGCTTTGAGTATAAGAATTGAGATGTCATGTTGACGTTGTACAGGACATTGATGAAGCTTCTTCTGGAATACTGTGTGCAGTTCTGGAAGAATATTATTAAATTGAAGAGGGTTCAGAAAAGATTTACCAGAATGTTGCCTGGAATCGAGGGTTTGAGTTATAAAAATAGGCTGGATAGCTGGGACTTTTTTTCACTGGAATGCAGGAATGTGAGTGGTGACCTTATAGAGATTAATAAAATCATGAGGAGCACAGATGAGCTGAATAGCAATGGCTTTTTTCCTAGGGCAGGGGAGTTCAAAACTAGGGGGCATATTTTTAACGTGAGAGGAGAAAGTTTTAAAAAGGACACGAGGGGCAATTTTTTAAACAGAGTGTGGTTCATATGTGGAATGAACTGCCAGAGGAAGTGGTGGGTGTAGGTATCGTTAGAACATTTAAAAGACATTTGGATAAGTACATGAATAGGAAATGTTGGAGGGATATGGGTCAAGCGCAGGTAAGTGAGACTAGTTTAGTTTGGGAACATAGTCGGCGTGGACTAGTTGGACCGAAAGGTCTGTTTCCATGCTGTATGCCTCTAAGAAATTCCTCAAAGTTGTATGTACAACTATTCCCTTCTCCTAACCCAGAGATTACTTCCTCTGAGGTACTACCTAGATTCCTGACTGATAATTGCAGGACCACTGCCTCTTTTCACCGATGTCATCAGCAGTAATGTGAACCACAACTGCTAGCAGTTCACCTTCTCCTTTCAGGGTTGTCTTCAGCCTTTTGATGACGTCCTTGTTCCTGGCACCAGGGAAACACTACTTTATCCTGGATTCAAGCCACAGAAATGCCTGTCAGTTCCTGTAGCCATTAAATCTCCAATCAATATTGCTGTTCCAGTCTTCCTTGTACCCCTTCCCTTCACAAAAAAACCTAGAAAAACTGAACCAGCCATGGTGCCATGGACTTGTCTCTACCGCAGTCTCCAGTTGAACCATCACTTTAAGCCATGTTCGGAACCAAAATACTGGTTGGAGATTGGGATGTACTCAGAAGACTCCTGTGCAACACAACTATTTCTTCTTGACTGCCTGATAGTCAGCCATTCATTCTGTCCCTACACACTGTCAGGCTTAGTGATAGCTCAGTCACATGCAGAAAATCTATTGATAGTTGAATGGTAATATGAATCAAATTACAGTAAACTTCATTGGAGTTCGTTAAAAATTAGGTACAGAACCAATTTTACGATTTCAATATAACAGATATGACACATGAAAATCTTATCATAAAACAAGAAAATGTAATGTAAGCTTTTTCAGTTATTTATTAGCTGAATTGTCTGAACACAAATTACTTGATTGAGCAAAATGTCACTTCTTCACACTCATCCGATTCACAATCCCAACCCCAAAAGAAAAACAAATTGGGTATATG